TGACACAGGGGTGTTGCATTAATATATATAATCTACATGTCCCTGTTTGTTCTACATATGTTTATACAATGCTTAGCAAGATGAATTTTGACACCATATAGAGGCAGGTCAAGAAGATGACGTCTTATAAGATATCTGGGTAGTTAGAATAGCCAGGAATGGTCTAATTTCTGTATATTTTTTTAAATCTTAGGTGTTGCATGATGTGTTATATTGTATGTTGCTCGGAAACTGTTGGGAGTTGCGAATTCTTTTTGTTTCAGCAGTTGTTCAAGGCCTCAAACAGTTATCTCTATATATATAAAAGTCAATGTCTGTCTGTTTCGCGATAAACTCAAAAACTACTGAACCAATTGCTACCAAATTTTGCATGTCGCTTTTTATAAACCTGAGGAAAATTTTCGGCTGCATTTTGATTAGTATTTTTGGCTATTTCTTTTTTTCATTTGAAGAACTTTTTTTACGGACTAATCCGGAATGGAATGAATACCTAAATATGGCCATTTTTTAAAGCATCGGTGGTTCAGTGGTAGAATGCTCGCCTGCCACGCGGGCGGCCCGGGTTCGATTCCCAATGGTTCGAACCATGCCTAAGAAAGATAAAATTAGGTGGTGCAATTTGCCTTCCTCGGGCCATTAAAAGTTCTTCCTAGGATGTAGGATGAATCATTGTCACTGGACACTCCTTCAAGCCTCAGGGTAAATCAGCATAATGTGCCAGTGGTCTGCAGGATCCTGCACATCCAAAATTTTGCTGAGAACCTTGTTTCCTCAGATTCACCCTTATAATGTTGATTGTTGGGTCAGAGTCCAAAATGGACCCAACATGGTGAAGCTTTTTCTTCACAAAATCTTTTGACATTTAAAAGTGGCATCTCTATTTTACTATATAAAAACACAGAGCGCCTCTCAAACGTCAAAACGACGCTATCTATTGACGTCGCTGAAAACTAGCGGCTTCGTGTTGGTGATAAAGCCACAACACAAACTTTGGTAAACTTGAGGAGCGTCCGCCTCTAGGTGGACAAAGGGGTGTTTAGCTGGCAAAGTGGCTGGGCCAAATCTAACGCCAAAATATAGATGGAAATCTCCTGGAAAAATTTACATCTCTAGTTGTAGAAATTTTCTAAATAACAAGTTTTTGGTAATATTGTAGCGTAGAAATCAAGTCTTTGTATATCTGAAGGTGTGTAAGTATTTATTGATGATGTCACGGCGACGAGTCGACAATTATTAACAAATTAACAAAACTATCTTCAGCTATTATTATTATTTATTTAAGTAACCCAGGTTCCTGGAGCGTACAGAAGTCGCCAACTACCCGGGATGTCCTTCTGACCTAAGTCTTCTTGGATTTATATACAATGCCAGTGGAAGTCCAATTAATGAGGTGTTGCCAGGCAGATTTCTTTCTTGGGAGATTTTCTAGGGATGCTGGACATATGTTGGTGATACCTAGGAGAGTGGCTGTCTGGAATCTTTGGTATTGGAAGGTTGGGCAAAGTGAAGAGGAGGTGGTCTATCTTCATCTTGGCAGTGGGGGCAAGTTGGGTCTTCTTTCGATACCGTTGCAAGGTCTGCCTGAATGTAGCCATGGCCGGTCAAGATTGTTGTGGAGGTAGATCCATGCTTGATGTTTCGAAGCATTTGGAGGAGTAGTTTCGGGGTAGCAGCAAATCTTCGTAGATTTCTGGTGGAGTAATCTTGGAAGTAGGCTGTCCACATTTTGAGGGCTATCTGTTCTTTTTTACCACGCGCGACGCTCTTTGGGAGGGTGGTAAAGGATAGTGGCAGATTAGAATGTGCTGCAGCCTTTGCCGCCTGATCCGCCAGTTCATTTCCTGGAATACCGCTGTGGCCTTTGATCCAGCAGAGTTGCACATTTGGTGAAAAATGCAGGTTGTAGATTATTTCCGCAATTAGTTGTGTTCTTGGGGGCCAAGACCTACATATGGCTGATAGAGCTGATTGGCAGTCTGAGGCAATGATAAAGTGTTCTTTCGGGAAATTCATGGTGATTTTTGTTGCATAGAGAATGGCAAGCAGTTCAGCTTGGAACGCTGAGCACTCCTGGTGGAGTTTAAGTTGTATGGTTTGTAGAGGAGGTGGTAGGATGACTCCAGCCCCAACTCCTTCTGATGATTGGGATCCGTCTGTGTAAATGGTGGTGACATTTAGTTGTAGTGATTTGGTAAAATAGATTATCTTCCGTAATGGGGGATAGGGTAAAAAGGAAGGACTTGGGCGTGATTCGTAGTGGCCCGTTTTCAAAGTTTTTAAATATTCTATGTGAGCCTTTATAGAGATATCGAGTGGAGGACAACCCGTCAATGAGATAGCTGGTATTGTCGGTGTGCATGGACCACCTCTTATTATTGCTTTCGCATATTTGTAGTGGAGACTACGTAGCTTGCGAGCCCCATTTGTGTCATATGCACGTTTTCCCCAGACACCAGAGCCATATAGTAGCGCTGGGAGAACGACTCTCTTGTAAATTTTGTGTCCGGAACTGAAGGTTGAACCAAATTGCCCTTTTATGGTGCTAGTGAGCCTTGGGAGTATCCATCGGTATTTGAGTAAACTGTTATTGAGATGTTTAATAAATTGTCTCTTTGAATCAAAGGTAATACCAAGGATTTTAATTGTTTTGTTGATTGCAATGGGCTGGTCAAGAAGTCGGATGCTGTCCTTGTTTGGCCATCTTGGTTTGTTTCTGTAAAACATGCATGCTTGAGTCTTGTGGGGATTTACCAACATTCCATGCCTTCTGCACCATTGTGAGAAATTTTCAAGAAAATTGTTTATTTGACATTTAGGAAGCTTTGGGGCCACCTTAGTGTGAAATCATCTGCGAAGCCCACTAATTCGCTCTTTCTAGGTTTTTGCAAAGTAAATGCTTTTCTTGCAATCATTCTTCAGCTAGAGAATCTTGAGCAAGCAAGCAAAGAGATATTTTGATCATTATTTTACATAAACAGATTAATATATATTTATATAATCTGTTGAATATATTTTCATTGAATAATTAAATTAAATAATAAATTATTTCTTCGCCACATAGCCTCCTCCTAAAAAGAGCATCGACCTGATGCTCAGCAGGAGACTTACGTCATCAGTCTCAAGAACTAGTAATAGGGCCAGGGATCTTTTCAGGTGACTGCGGTGGATGTCTTCTTTCAGTTGAGATATCTTCTTCATGAGGCTTGGCAGGTCTATATTTACGTCAATGTAGTTTTTCTTATTTATACTGTGGTCGGCAAGGGAGGATTTCCTAACTTTGCGGCTTCACCTCCAATATGGTCTATTATCTAGTTTTCATGGCAGGGCGACCAGCTAGATCTTCTAGCAGGTGAGAAATTTTGTTTGTTTCGACCTGTATATGGGGTAGGGCTTCGGTAGCGGCTGAAATTTTTCTTTGATTCATCGTTGGGTTCCTGAGATTCGGCTCGAGAGTTGTAGAATTCCATTGTCTCTTCCTGTCGCGGCAATAGTGGACGACGTGACCTGGGCATCCACAGTAGAAACAGATTGGCTTTCCCTCAGTTGTCCGCCATTCATTGGTGTCACATCTTCCTTGCTTTCGTTAATGAGGTTCAGGATGCGGTCGTATCGTTTGGGCCTCGTATCTAGTATTTGATACCGGCCTGGATTCTTGAGGGGGATTTATTTAAGTTTTGATCTAGGTGCCAAGGTCTTTACAATCTCTTCCCTCACTAAATCTTCAATGACAGCAATTTTAGGCTCCTCTTGTGGAGAGTCCAATGCTTGCTTTATCTCTTCGCAGACAATTTTTCGGATCAGCGATGCCAGATCTTCTCTCGTGGTCACAAAGAGAGGCTACCTTTGGTAGGCACTCGTACTTGGTTGGGGGTAACTCGCCTACACGGCGACATTCTGTAATGAATTGCTCGGTGCTCTGTACATCCCTCGGTAGGAGTGCTTGATAAAGCTCCTCAGCTATCCCCTACATGAGGTGGGAGATTTTATCTTCCTCGCTCATTTGAGGATCAACCTCTTTGCACAAACACAGGGCATCCTGGATGTAAAATTCGGTACTCTCTCACCTTTTAATTGCGCCCGTGTTTGTAAGTTTCTTCTCCGCTTGCAATTTTGAATTTTCTTTTTTCCCCCCAACACATTCTCTAATTGAGATGTGAATTCCTTCTAAGTCTGGATGCTTTCTTCATTGTTCTCAAACCATTTTAGAGCAGTTCCAGACATTTAAAAATAAACTTTAGTATGACAAAGAGTTTTGTCCCAATGGTTGTACTTTGCCACACGTGTATACCCTTTTAACCATTTTTGGATATCTTCACCATCCTCCCGGGCTAGCTGGGTTGTGCCGCCTCCATCTCTTTTGGAATCCAACTTGTAGATGTTAAAATTGTAATATCTTTAAATATTGTTAGAATTTAGAAGAGATATTCACCCAAAGTGGTTCAATAGGCTTGAGGTGCAGTATGATAATAAAAAATTAAATATTAATTAATTATATTTTGAAAAAAAAGCAAAAATATATGGCTTGTTTAATGAAACATATGTTTTCAAAAGCAATGTTGCCAGATTATGTTGCAGATTATGGAAGTTAGTGAATAGGTAGGTTTGAAAAAATCAAAAATCTGTCTAAATGTTTTATTGAGCTTCAAACACGGTCATTTTATATTTTATGTTATTTTAAACTAAAAATAGTTTTACATTTAAATATCAAATGTGATTTAAAAACATTGGTATTTGAACGACATAGTTTGTTATAATTTTGTTATTTATCATAATTTTTTTTTGAATTATGAATATTGATAAAAATATATAAAATATCATAATTAAATGTAGTATTTGTGTAGTCATGTATGCGTTTTATATAGGGCAGAGCTAAAAATAATCTTAATAAATTCAAATATGATATATTAGGCTCTTCAAGATATCGAATAATTTATGGTAAAATAATATAAAATATTAAAGTAGTATTATAAAAATTCTACAATTCTAAAAGTAACTTTATTTATAGATTAGTTTGAAAATATTTTAATCAATATTATTTTCTCTCTATGAAAATTATATATTTTTATATATTTGACGATCCCCCCTCCCAACCTCCCCCCCCCCATTGCCGTTTATTCAAAAATCTCTAGGGGTAGTATAATACATTTATTGATATTAGCCCTTTTTTCAAATAAAAAGTATTTTTCTAGCTATTTTCGAGAATTTTGAAAATATAAACCAGTGAGCATAAAAAATGCCTATTTTACTATTTGTTTGTTTTCTTGTTTTCACTAAAAGCAAAAAAAAAACCTACCTACTACCAAACACAAGGTAATAAGACCAAATCCAAATAAATAAATAGTGTTTGACGTTTCGGTAACAGCGTTGTTACCGAAACGTCACACACTATTTATTTATTTGGATTTGGTCTTATTACCTTGTGTTTATAATCTATAATCCAAATTGTGCCTTATCAAATTCTACTACCAAATATAAATATGGAGCGTTCCCAGTGAACAGCAACTTTGGTAGGCGGCGCTGTACGTTGCCACCGCAGTACCTTCGAGGCGTTTTACACGAGTTTGATTAAAAGCGATATATTTTGTGTGCCCC